ACACTCACTCACACACACACACAGACACTCACACAGACACTCACACAGACACTCACTCACACAGACACACACACAGACACTCACACAGACACTCACACACACAGACACTCACTCACACACACACAGACACTCACACACACACAGACACTCAGACAGACACTCACACACACACTCACACACACACAAACACTCACACAAACACACATACACTCACTCACACACACACACAGACACTCACTCACACACACAGACACTCACACACACAGACACTCACACACACACTCACACAGACACTGACACACACTGACACACACACACACAGACACACACACAGACACTCTCTATGACTGTGTCTGTGTGTCTCTGTGTCTTTGTGTCTCTGTCTGTGTGTCTCTGTGTCTGTTTGTCTGTGTGACTGTGTGTCTGTGTGTCTCTGTGTCTGTGTCTCAGTGTGTGTGTCTGTGTGTCTCTGTGTCTGTGTGTCTCTGTGTCTCTCTGTCTCTGTGTGTGTGTCTGTGACTGTGTGACTGTGTGTCTGTGTGTCTCTGTGTCTCTGTGTGTATGCCTGTGACTGTGTGTCTGTGTCTGTGTGTCTTTGTGGCTCTGTGTCTCTGTCTGTGTGTCTCTGTGTGTGTGTGTCTGTGTGTGTATGTCTGTGACTGTGTGTCTGTGTGTGTGTGTCTGTGTGTCTCTGTTTGTGTGTCTTTGACTGTGTGTCTCTGTGTCTGTGTGTCTCTGTGTCTCTGTGTGTGTGTCTCTGTGTGTGTGTGTGTCTCTGTGTGTCTGTGTGTCTCTGTGTCTCTGTCTCTGTGTGTGTCTCTGTGTCTGTGTGTGTCTCTGTGTGTCTGTGTGTGTGTGTCTGTGTCTCTGTGTGTGTGTCTGTGACTGTCTCTGTGTGTCTCTCTGTGTCTCTGTGTGTCTCTGTGTGTGTGTCTGTGTCTCTGTGTGTCTGTGTTTGACTGTATCTGTGTGTCTCTGTGTGTGTGTGTCTGTGACTGTCTCTGTGTCTGTGTGTGTCTCTGTGTCTGTGTGTCTGTGTGTGACTGTGTCTGTGTGTCTCTGTGTGTCTGTGTGTGACTGTGTCTGTGTGTCTCTGTGTGACTGTCTCTGTGTGTGTCTCTGTATGTGTCTCTGTGTGTCTCTGTGTGTCTCTTTGTGTGACTGTGTCTGTGTGTCTCTGTCTGTCTGTGTGTGTATGTATGTCTGTGACTGTCTGTGTGTCTCTGTGTGTTTCTGTGTGTCTCTGTGTGTCTGTGTCTCTGTGTGTATCTCTGTGTGTGTGTGTGTCTGTGTCTCTGTGTCTCTGTGTGTGACTGTGTCTGTGTGTCTCTGTGTGTCTGTGTGTGTGTGTGTATGTCTGTGACTGTCTCTGTGTCTGTGTGTCTCTGTGTCTCTGTGTGTGTGTGTGTTTGTCCGTGACCGTCTCTGTGTGCGTGTCTGTGTGTGTCTCTGTGTGTCTCTGTATGTCTGTGACTGTGTCTCTGTGTGTCTCTGTGTGTCTCTGTGTGTCTCTGTGTCTCTGTATCTGTATGTCTGTGACTGTCTCTGTGTGTGTGTCTGTGTGTGTCTCTGTGTGTCTCTGTGTGTCTGTGTCTCTCTGTGTCTGTGTCTCTGTGTGTATCTCTGTGTCTGTGTGTGTGTGTGTCTGTGTCTCTGTGTCTCTGTGTGTGACTGTGTCTGTGTGTCTCTCTGTGTGTCTGTGTGTGTGTATGTCTGTGACTGTCTCTGTGTCTGTGTGTCTCTGTGTCTGTGTGTCTTTCTATGACTGTGTGTGTCTCTGTCTCTGTGTCTGTGTGTCTCTGTGTCTCTGTGTGTGTGTGTATGTCTGTGACTGTCTGTGTGTGTGTGTCTGTGTGTATCTCTGTGTGTCTCTGTATGTCTGTGACTGTGTCTGTGTGTGTCTCTGTGTGTCTGTGTGTGTCTCTGTGTGTCTTTGTGTGTCTCTGTGTCTCTGTGTGTGTATGTCTGTGACTGTCTCTGTGTGTGTGTCTGTGTGTGTCTCTGTGTGTCTCTGTGTGTCTCTGTGTGTCTGTGTCTCTCTGTGTCTGTGTCTCTGTGTGTATCTCTGTGTGTGTGTGTCTGTGTCTCTGTGTCTCTGTGTGTGTCTGTGTCTCTGTGTGTATGTCTGTGTGTCTCTGTGTGTCTCTGTGTGTCTGTGTCTCTGTGTGTGACTGTGTCTGTGTGTCTCTGTGTGTCTCTGTGTGACTGTGTCTGTGTATGTCTGTGACTGTGTCTGTGTGTGTCTCTGTGTGTGTGTATGTCTGTGACTGTGTCTGTGTGTGTCTCTGTGTGTCTGTGTGTGTGTATGTCTGTGACTGTGTCTCTGTGTGTGTGTGTGTCTGTGTGTCTCTGTGTGTGTCTCTGTGTGTGTGTCTGTGTGTGTCTCTGTGCGTGTCTAGGAGAGGAAGGTTCACTGGTTCATGCCTCCATCAACGGCGGCCTCATTGAAGGTTTCATTCTGACGAGAGGATCTGGAACTTTCTACCTGGACCATGCCGTCAGACACCGCCCATACTCAGCTGCTGGGGGCTCAGTCATCTACCACGAGGACGACTTGCGTGTGTACACTAGTGGGGGGCTGGGTGGTGGGTGGTGGTGGGGGGTAGTGGTGGTGGTGGGGGGTCGTTGTGGGAGTCGGAGGTAGTGGGGGGTGGTGGTGGTGGTTGGGGGTCGTGGTGGTGGTTGGGGGGGTAGTGGTGGGTGGTGGTGGTAGTGGGGGGTGGTGGTGGTGGTGGTGGGGGGTAGTGGGGGGTGGTGGTGGTAGTGGGGGGTCGTTGTGGGAGTCGGAGGTAGTGGGGGGTCGTGGTGGTGGTTGGGGGTCGTGGTGGTCGTGGTGGGTAGTGAGGGGTGGTGGTGGTGTGGGTGGTAATGTTGGTGGTGGTGGGGGGTGGTGGGTGGTAGGGGGGGTCGTGGGGGGTGGTGGGGGGTAATGGTGGTGGTAGTGGGGGGTAGCAACCCGTTTCTATGTGTGTCTGTGTGTGTGTCTGTGTGTGTGTCTGTGTGTGTGTGTCTGTGTGTGTGTGTCTATGTGTGTCTGTGTGTGTGTCTATGTGTGTCTGTGTGTGTGTCTGTGTGTGTGTGTCTGTGTGTGTGTGTCTGTGTGTGTGTCTATGTGTGTCTGTGTGTGTGTCTGTGTGTGTGTGTCTGTGTGTGTGTGTCTGTGTGTGTGTCTGTGTCTAACTGTGTGTGTCTGTGTGTTTCTGTGTGTGTGTCTGTGTGTGTGTCTGTGTCTGTGTGTTTCTATGTGTGTGTCTGTGTTTCTGTGTGTGTGTCTGTGTGTGTCTGTGTGTGTGTCTGTGTGTTTCTGTGTGTGTCTTTGTGTCTAACTGTGTGTTTTTCTGTGTGTGTGTCTGTGTGTGTCTGTGTCTAACTGTGTGTGTCTGTATGTGTCTGTGTGTGTGACTGTGTGTGTGTGTCTGTGTGTTTCTGTGTGTGTCTGTGTCTAACTGTGTGTGTCTGTATGTGTCTGTGTGTGTGTCTGTGTGTGTGTCTGTGTGTGTGTGTGTGTCTGTGTGTGTGTGTAGACTACCCACACCCGTACGGGTCTCTGGGTGGGTGTGCTAACCACAGCGTCTTCCACAGGATGCACAGCCGACAGCAACAGCACGCAGTGAAGGTAAGGCGGAGTGTTTAGGCTGAGCGGACCTAGGGGAGGTGGGCTCAGACACACACAGAGACACACAAAGACACACACAGAGACACACACAGACACACACAGACACACAGACAGACACAGAGAGACACCCAGACACACACACACAGACACACACACACAGTGAAACACACATAGTGACACACACACACAGTGACTAACACAGTGAAACACACACACAGTGACACACACAGAGACACACAGACAGACACACACACACAGTGACACACACACAGACACACAGACAGACACACACACACAGTGACACACACACAGACACACACATACACACACACACACACATAGACACAGACACATGCAGACACAACAACAACAACAACCGCCAATCGCCACTAAGTGGCGGTGACGTCACCACGACGCTTGTGCCAGGCTATGTGCACCCTGAGGCCACGTGAAGTGTCGAACGCCCGCTGGCAGGAGGTCACGGGGCAGACCCAGCAGGTGCCACGGGTCGACTGACTGAGATGACTGGCTGATGCACCACCTGTGCCCCCTACTGTGCCAACCTGCTGTGCTTTAGCCACCCGGCGCTCCGCTCGCTGTTGTGAGCGTCGCTCCTCCGCCCTCCGTTGTTGTTGGAGGGCGACTGCCTCCAACTGCCCAATAGCGTCCTTCACGAGTCTCCTCCACAGAGGCCGATCTTGACACCGCTGGTACCGGTCATCAGCAAGTCCACTCAGCTCCACGTCCTCCTGTACCACATCACTCCATCTCTTCTCTAGCCCGTGCCGCTCCCGTTCAGCCCCCTCGATCCGGCCGAACAAAAGCTGTTTCGGCATGCGGTGGCTGGGCATGCGGGCTACATAACCCAGCCATCGCAGCCTTGCCTGCCGGAGGAGCTCACCGATGGGACCTTGCCCAGATCTTTCAAGGATTTGTGAGCTCTTCACACAATCCAGTCTGGTTAAACCCAGGATGGATCGTAGGCAGTCCAGCCTAAATGTTTCTAACCGGCGAAGATGTTCCATTAGGCGGGTCCACGTTTCTCAAGCGTAGAGAAGGGAGGGAATGACCGTGGCCGAGAAGACCTGAAGCTTAGTGCGGAGCGACAGACCAGGTAGCTTCCACACAGCGTTACGTAACCGATGAAAATATATTGCCGCTCGACTGATTCGGAGTGAGACCTCTGCTGTTGAACTGGAGACACATACACACACAGATACACACAGACACACACACAGACACAACAACAACAACCGCCATTTGCCACTGAGTGGCGTTGACGTCACCACGACGCTTGTGCCAGGCCATGTGCACCTTGAGGCCACAGACACACACAGAGACACACAGACCCACAGACACACAGACCCACAGACACACAGACCGACAGACACACAGACCCACAGACACACAGAGACTCACAGAGATACACAGACACACACAGACACACACAGAGACACACACAGAAATGGTGGTTGTGATGGTGATGGTGGTGGTGATGGTGGTTGTGGTAATAGTGATGGTAATGATGGTGGTTGAGATGATGGTGGTTGTGATAGTGATGATGGTGGTGATGGTAGTGATGGTGATGATGGTGGTGATGGTGATGATGGTGTAGTGATGGTGATGATGGTGTCATGGTGTCATGGTGATGGTGGTGGTGGTGATGGTGGTCATGGTAGTGATGGTGGTGATGGTGGTGATGGTAGTGATGGTATTGATGGTGGTGATGGTAGTGATGGTAGTGATGGTGGTGATGGTAGTGATGGTAGTGATGGTGGTGGTAGTGGTGGTAGTGATGGTGGTGGTGGTGATGGTGGTGATGGTGTGATGGTGATGATGATGGTGGTTGTGGTTGTGATGATGGTGGTGATGGTGGTGATGGTAGTGATGGTAGTGATGGTGGTAGTGGTGGTAGTGATGGTAGTGATGGTGGTGATCGCGATGATGGTGTGATGATGGTGATTGTGGTGGTGGTGATGGTAAAGATGGTGGTTGAGATGATGGTGGTTGTGGTGGTGGTGATGGTTGATGGTAGTGGTGGTAGTGGTGGTGGTGATGGTGATGATGGTGGTGATGGTAGTCATTGTTGGTGGTTGTGATGATAGTGATGGTGGTGATGGTGGTGGTGGTGATGGTGGTGATGGTGTGATGGTGATGATGATGGTGGTTGTGATGATGATGGTGGTAGTGATTGTGGTTGTGATGATGATGATGGTGGTGATGGTAGTGATGGTAGTGATGGTGGTGATGGTAGTGATTGATGGTGGTTGTGGTTGTGATGGTGGTGCCCGCGATGATGGTGTGATGGTGATGGTGGTGGTTGTCGTGGTTACAGGAAGTCACCAATGCCTCGGGCCACTACAACCACAGTCGCCTGCGTAGGGCGCTGGGTCCGGAACAGAAGACTTGCCTCCTCTTTATCCAGACGGACCACCTCTTCACACAGCACTACGGATCTCGTGACAACGTCCTCGCCCAGGTGATGGGCGGGTTACCTCGCTGCTTAACAACCAGCTGGTTAACTAGCTAACTAGCTGGTTAGGTAGTCTACTAGCTGTTTAGCTAGTTAACTAGTTGGTTAGGTAGTTACCTGGCTGTTTAACTTGTTAACTAGCTGGTTAACTAGCTAACTAGCTGGTTAGGTAGTCTACTAGCTGTTTAGCTAGTTAACTAGTTGGATAGGTAGTTAACTGGCTGTTTAACTTGTTAACTAGCTGGTTAACTAGTTAACTAGTTGGTTAACTGGTTGGTTAACTAGCTAACTAGCTGGTTAGGTAGTCCACTAGCTGTTTAGCTAGTTAACTAGTTGGATAGGTAGTTAACTAGCTGTTTAACTTGTTAACTAGCTGGTTAACTAGTTAACTAGTTGGTTAACTGGTTGGTTAACTAGCTAACTAGCTGGTTAGGTAATCCACTAGCTGTTTAGCTAGTTAACTAGTTGGATAGGTAGTTAACTGGCTGCTTAACTTGTTAAATAGCTGGTTAACTAGTTAACTAGTTGGTTAACTGGCTGGTTAACTAGTTAACTAGCTGGTTAGGTAGTCCACTAGCTGTTTAACTAGTTAACTAGTTGGTTAGGTAATTAACTGGCTGTTTAACTTGTTAACTGGCTGTTTAACTTGTTAACTAGCTGGTTAACTAGCTAACTAGCTGGTTAGGTAATCTACTAGCTGTTTAACTTATTAACTAGCTGGATAGGTAACTTGCTGTTTAACTAGTTGGTTAGGTAGTTAACTAGCTGTTTAACTTGTTAACCGGCTGTTTAACTTGTTAACTAGCTGGTTAACTAGTTAACCAGTTGGTTAGTTAACCAGTTGGTTAACTGGCTGGTTAACTAGGTAACTAGCTGGTTAGGTAGTTAACTGGCTATTTAACTTGTTAACTAGCTGTTTAACTAGTTAACCAGTTGGTTAGGTCGTTAACTGGCTATTTAACTTGTTAACTAGCTGGTGAACTAGTTAACTAGCTGGTTAGGTAGTTTACTAGCTGTTTAACTTGTTAACTAGCTGTTTAAGTTGTTAACTAGTTGGATAGGTAGTTAACTGGCTGTTTAACTTGGTAACTAGCTGTTTAACTAGTTGGATAGGTAGTTAACTGGCTATTTAAATTGTTAACTAGCTGTTTAACTTGTTAACTAGCTGTTTAACTTGTTAACTAGTTGGATAGGTAGTTAACTGGCTGTTTAACTTGTTAACTAGATGTTTAACTAGTTAACTAGTTGGTTAAGTAGTTAACTAGCTGTTTAACTTGTTAACTAGCTGGTGACCTAGTTAACTAGCTGGTTAAGTAGTTTACTAGCTGTTTAACTTGTTAACCAGCTGGTTAACTTGTTAATTAGTTGGATAGGTAGTTAACTGGATGTTTAACTTGTTAACTAGCTGTTTACCTAGTTAACTAGTTGGTTATCTAGCTGGTTAACTAGTTAACTAGCTGGTTAGGCAGTTTACTAGCTGTTTCACTTGTTAACTAGCTGGTTAACTAGTTGGTTAGGTAGTTAACTGGTTGTTTAACTTGTTAACTAGCTGGTTAACTACCTAGCTAGCTGGTTAACTAGCTGGTTAACTAGCCAACCAGCTGGTTAGTTAGTTTAGCTGTTTAACTTGGTAATTAGCTGTTTAACTACTTAACTAGCTGGTTAGGTAGTTAACTGGCTGTTTAACTTGGTAACTAGCTGTTAACTAGTTGGTTAACTAGCTGGTTAGGTAGTTAACTGGCTGTTTAACTTGGTAACTAGCTGTTTAACTTGTTAACTAGCTGTTTAACTAGTCAACTAATTGGTTGACTAGCAGGTTAACTAGCTCTTTAGGTAGTTAACTAGCTGGTTAATTCGTTAACTAGCTGGTTAACTAGCTGGGTAGGTAGTTAACTAGCTGGTTAGGTAGTTAATTAGCTGGTTAACCAGCTGGTTAGGTGGTTAACCAGCTGGTTAGGTGGTTAACTAGCTGGTTAGGTGGTTAACTAGCTGGTTAGGCAGTTAACTAGCTGGTTAGGTAGATAACTAGCTGGATAACCAGCTGGTTGGGTGGTTAACTAGCTGGTTAGGTAGTTAACTACCTAACCACCAGCTAGGTAAATAGGTGGTTAATTTGGATTGCAGGCCACATGAAGGCTCTGGTTACCGTGGTTACCGTGGTGGTTACTGTGGTGGTCACCGTGGTTACTGTGGTGGTTACCGTGGTTACCGTGGTTACTATGGTGGTTACTGTGGTGGTTACCGTGGTTACTGTGGTGGTTGCCGTGGTTACCGTGGTGGTTGCCGTGGTTACCGTGGTGGTTGCCGTGGTTACCGTGGTGGTTGCCGTGGTTACCGTGGTGGTTGCCGTGGTTACCGTGGTGGTTGCCGTGGTTACTGTGGTGGTTGCCGGGGTTTTTAACGTGGTGGTTCATGTCGTTGCCGTGGTTACCGTGGTGGTTGCCGTGGTTACCGTGGTGGTTGCCGTGGTTACCGTAGATCGCTGGCCACGTGAAGGCTTTGGATGCCATCTACCAGAACACAAACTTCCACGGCATTCGTGGAATCAACTTCATGGTGAAGAGAGTCAGGGTGAGAATACACTCACCACTTACTCACCACTCACTCACCACTTACTCACCACTCACTCACCACTCACTCACCACTCACTCACCACTTACTCACCACTCACTCACCACTTACTCACCACTCACTCACCACTCACTCACCACTCACTCACTCACTCACCACTCACTCACCACTTACTCACCACTCACTCACCACTCACTCACCACTCACTCACCACTCACTCACCAATTACTCACCACTTACTCACCACTCACTCACCACTTACTCACCACTCACTCACTCACCACTTACTCACCACTTACTCACCACTCACTCACCACTCACTCACCACTTACTCACCACTCACTCACCACTCACTCACTCATACACTCACTCATACACTCACTCACTCACTCATACACTCACTCACTCATACACTCACTCATACACTCACCCACCCACTCACCCACTCACTCACCCACCCACTCACCCACCCTCACTCACTCACTCATACACTCACCACTCACTCATACACTCACTCATACACTCACTCATACACTCACCACTCACTCATACACTCACTCATACACTCACTCATACACTCACTCACTCACTCATACACTCACCCACTCACTCACCACTCACTCACCACTCACTCACCACTCACTCACTCATACACTCATACACTCACTCACCACTCACTCACCACTCACTCACCACTCACTCATACACTCATACACTCACTCACTCACTCACCACTTACTCACCACTCACTCACCACTTACTCACCACTCACTCACCACTCACTCACCACTTACTCACCACTCACTCACCACTCACTCACCACTCACCACTTACTCACCACTCACTCACCACTCACTCACCACTCACTCACCACTTACTCATACACTCACTCACCACTCACTCACCACTCACTCACCACTCACGGACCACTTACCACTTACTCATACACTCACTCACCACTTACTCACCACTCACTCACCACTCACTCACCACTCACTCACCACTCACTCACTCACTCATACACTCACTCATACACTCACTCATACACTCACTCACTCATACACTCACCCACTCACTCACCACTCACTCACCACTCACTCACCACTCACTCACCACTCACTCACTCACTCATACACTCATACACTCACTCACCACTCACTCACCACTCACTCACCACTCACCACTCACTCACCACTCACTCACTCACTCATACACTCATACACTCACTCACTCACCACTTACTCACCACTCACTCACCACTTACTCACCACTCACTCACCACTTACTCACCACTCACTCACCACTCACTCACCACTTACTCACCACTTACTCACCACTTACTCACCACTCACTCACCACTTACTCACCACTTACTCGCCACTCACTCACCACTCACTCACCACTCACTCATACACTCACCACTCACTCACCACTCACTCACCACTCACTCATACACTCACTCACTCATACAATCACTCATACACTCATACACTCACTCACTCATACACTCACTCATACACTCACTCACTCATACACTCACTCATACACTCACTCATACACTCACTCATACACTCACTCACCACTTACTCACCACTCACTCACCACTCACTCACCACTCACTCACTCACTCACCACTTATTCACCACTTACTCACCACTCACTCACCACTCACTCACCACTCATTCACTCACTCACTCATACACTCACTCATACATTCACTCACTCATACACTCACTCACTAATACACTCACTCATACACTCACTCACTCACTTACTCATACACTCACTCATACACTCACTCACCACTTACTCACCACTCACTCACCACTCACTCACTCACTCATACACTCACTCATACACTCACTCACTCACCACTCACCACTTACTCACCACTCACTCACCACTCACTCACCACTCACTCACCACTCACTCACTCACTCACCACTCACTCACCACTCACTCACCACGTACTCACCACTTACTCACTCACCACTTACTCACCACTCACTCATACACTCACCACTCACTCACCACGTACTCATCACTTACTCACCACTCACTCACCACTTACTCACCACTCACTCACCACTTACTCACCACTTACTCACCACTCACTCACCACTTACTCACCACTTACTCACCACTCACTCACCACTTACTCGCCACTCATTCACCACTCACTCACCACTCACTCATACACTCACCACTCACTCACCACTCACTCACCACTCACTCATACACTCACTCACTCATACAATCACTCATACACTCATACACTCACTCACTCATACACTCACTCATACACTCACTCACTCATACACTCACTCATACACTCACTCATACACTCACTCATACACTCACTCACCACTTACTCACCACTCACTCACCACTCACTCACCACTCACTCACTCACTCACCACTTATTCACCACTTACTCACCACTCACTCACCACTCACTCACCACTCATTCACTCACTCACTCATACACTCACTCATACACTCACTCACTCATACACTCACTCACTAATACACTCACTCATACACTCACTCACTCACTTACTCATACACTCACTCATACACTCACTCACCACTTACTCACCACTCACTCACCACTCACTCACTCACTCATACACTCCCTCATACACTCACTCACTCACCACTCACCACTCACTCACCACTCACTCACCACTCACTCACCACTCACTCACTCACTCACCACTCACTCACCACTCACTCACCACGTACTCACCACTTACTCACCACTCACTCACCACTTACTCACCACTCACTCATACACTCACCACTCACTCACCACGTACTCATCACTTACTCACCACTCACTCACCACTTACTCACCACTCACTCACCACTCACTCACCACTTACTCACCACTCACCACTTACTCACCACTCACTCACCACTTACTCACCACTCACTCACCACTCACTCACCACTCACCACTCACTCACCACTCACTCACCACTCACCACTCACTCACAACTCACTCACTCACTCATACACTCATACACTCACTCACTCACCACTTACTCACCACTCACTCACCACTTACTCACCACTCACTCACCACTTACTCACCACTCACTCACCACTCACTCACCACTTACTCACCACTTACTCACCACTCACTCACCACTCACTCACCACTTACTCACCACTTACTCACCACTTACTCACCACTCACTCACCACTTACTCGCCACTCACTCACCACTCACTCACCACTCACTCATACACTCGCCACTCACTCACCACTCACTCACCATTCACTCATACACTCGCCACTCACTCACCACTCACTCATACAATCACTCATACACTCATACATTCACTCACTCATACACTCACTCATACACTCACTCACTCATACACTCACTCATACACTCACTCATACACTCACTCACTCATACACTCACTCACCACTTACTCACCACTCACTCACCACTCACTCACTCACTCACCACTTATTCACCACTTACTCACCACTCACTCACCACTCACTCACCACTCATTCACTCACTCACTCATACACTCACTCATACACTCACTCACTCATAAACTCACTCACTAATACACTCACTCATACACTCACTCACTCACTTACTCATACACTCACTCATACACTCACTCACCACTTACTCACCACTCACTCACCACTCACTCACCACTCATTCACTCACTCACTCATACACTCACTCATTCACTCACTCACCACTCACTCACTCATACACTCACCACTTACTCACCACTTACTCACCACTCACTCACCACTCACTCACCACTCACTCACTCACTCACCACTCACTCACCACTCACTCACCACGTACTCACCACTTACTCACCACTCACTCACCACTTACTCACCACTCACTCATACACTCACCACTCACTCACCACGTACTCATCACTTACTCACCACTCACTCACCACTTACTCACCACTCACTCACCACTCACTCACCACTTACTCACCACTCACCACTTACTCACTCATATACTCACTCATACACTCACTCACTCATACACTCACTCACTCACCACTCACTCACCACTCACTCATACACTCACCACTCACTCACCACTCACTCACCACTCACTCACTCATACACTAACTCACTCATACACTCACTCACTCACTCATACACTCACTCACTCATACACTCACTAATACACTCACCACTCACTCACCACTCACTCATACACTCACTCATACACTCACTCACCACTCACTCACCACTTACTCACCACTTACTCACCACTCACTCACCACTCACTCACCACTCACTCATACACTCACCACTCACTCACCACTCACTCACCACTCACTCACTCATACACTCACTCACTCATACACTAACTCACTCATACACTCACTCACTCATACACTCACTCACTCATACACTCACTCATACACTCACTCACCACTCACTCACCACTCACTCACTCACTCACCACTTACTCACCACTTACTCACCACTCACTCACCACTCACTCACCACTCATTCACTCACTCACTCATACACTCACTCATACACTCACTCATACACTCACCACTCACTCACCACTCACTCACCACTTACTCACCACTTACTCACCACTTGCTCACCACTCACCACTCACTCACCACTTACTCACCACTTACTCACTCACTCACCACTCACTCACTCATATACTCACTCATACACTCACTCACTCATACACTCACTCACTCACTCAACACTCACTCACTCATACACTCACTCATACACTCACTCACTCATTCATACACTCACTCATACACTCACTCATACACTCACTCACCACTTACTCACCACTCACTCACCACTCACTCACCACTCACTCACTCACTCACCACTTATTCACCACTTACTCACCACTCACTCACCACGTACTCACCACTTACTCACCACTCACTCACCACTTACTCACCACTCACTCATACATTCACCACTCACTCACCACGTACTCATCCCTTACTCACCAC